TCGTAAGAAGTTAGATTTCATCATGTGTTCATCCCGTCACTAGAAACGTTTTAGGTTACAATGAGGAAAAAGGCGACAAGTCGAACACGAAATCTCAATGGTCCCGAAATCACATATCACACTTGAAAATATTATGTAACAATTCTAAATTTTATTGCAACGCTAAGAATTTCTGTCTCGGCCTCAAGAACTGGGAGTCTGAATAAGAAGCACTTTCTTGAAACTACGTAGAAACGTCATATATGGTGTCCTCAATAATTTTTCAGGCCTCCTTGGTACGGAGGTATGTTCTCCATAGCACAGAACTCTGATCACAGCATTTAAAACTGCCGAAACGATTGAGAATGTATGAAAATGGCAACGTCGATTTACATAACTTAAGTGTATCTCGACGAAAAACTGTCCTTGAGAGTGCTAAAATCACAATAATGTAAAAAATTTCGAGCTCTATACGAAATCTCTGTTGGCTCCTTTCAACAACCACGCTGCCTCACGCTATCGGAAGAGTCAGACTTCGGGAAAAATAAGCGATCTTACGAACTATGTTAACTTCGTATCTTAGTCTAGGGAGCCCACTTTTCGAGAACTTCTTTCCAGGACTGGGAGATGGAACATCAGAGGGCATTTTCAATCCGTTTAGTTCTTAAGAAAAGCTGAGATGACAAATTCTTCATGAAAATTGTATCTCGTACGCGGCACGAAGTGATTAATTGCCGAATAATCCGTTGATTTCAGATGAAACAGAGAATCTCAACACGCCTTCGGTGCTGACCAACAAATACTACACTGATGTCGATGGTCCCACTCAGTGGAATCCACTGAATACGACCGACTATGAAGGTTTCATCGAAGGCAATGACACCTGTGGACACTTCGCTCGAACCGCCGAGGTTCCGAAGAAAGCGAACGCGCAGAATCGCTTTCCTTCACAACAATCTGCGATAGTTTAGGTGACTAATTATTACCAAATCAAGACGTTGACCATCCTTGTCGAATTTAAACGGAAGTGCATGAAGCACACAGTGAATTACTTGATCAGTGTCGGTGTTAACAGAAAGCCGGGTGTGGGGATTACGAGAAAGCCTTCTTCGGAAATATGGAACTACGACTGCAATATTACTGAGCGATCAACATCAAGCCGTACTGAAATCACTTGAATTAAGAACCATATCACCACGATCACCGTCCGAGAAAATCCCGGATCACGAGAACGGCCTGCGCCGAAGCGGCGACCCGGCCGGCATTGCGTCCGCGACGCGGTCGCGACGCGGCCCGCTCACCCCCTCCGTCTTCTCGGGGACGTCGCGCGACCCTCCTGTAAAATTCAGACCACTTGGTAGACCCGAACCGAACCCTTCGGCTGCCTGGATTTTGGGTACTGTACCGCAGACTGTGTCCATTATGAATACGCGTGCATTGTGTTCACCATTCCCAAGCAGAGGTCACGACAAGGTACGAGGATGTGATTTCCACGCAGATGCAGTCTAGTAAATGATGCTTCTTCAATTTTCCGAAAGACTGCGTGCCTTCCAGACATATTAAGGTCTTCTAAATCTCCATCCATCTTCAAACTGAGTGATATCTAATGCCTAAAACAGTAATTCTTCTTTAAAACATGTTATAGCAGGACTTTTCACACGTTTTCTGCAGTTTTTTTAAGAAGCAGTTGTTTTTCAAGGCGACTTGTCGTCGAATTCATCACTCCGTAGACTTCTATTCGGAGGACGGAGGAGTTCTGGATTCAGCTCGTGTTCGGGGGCGACTCGGTTTCCAGTGAGTGGCGACGACGGACGATCGCCTGACGGACGGGGTGGGTGACCTCGTCGCTAGCATTCACGCCGGCCGCACACGACGTCATCCGAATCGGATTGCTAACCGGAAAACAACACACTCACCACCACTTCATAGCCTTTCACTCTATTTTGCAATAAGTTTTAAAGAGTTCTGTTTGCTGTGTTGCATTTCCCGGCTGTGCGACCTTTGACCCTTTCCATTTCTCGACGTTCTGATCACAAATGTGCAATTGTAGGTCCTTTTAAGAGGACTAAGTAGTAATCTGTGATACTTTTAGGCTGTAACCTTGTTTAAAAAGTGCTCCATTAAATCCGAAAAGTGTTAAACCTCTTTGCATTGCAGAATTTTAAGAGTCTTATTTTCCTTACTGTTATGTCGATTTGACCACTTAGTATTGTATTACTTCGTCTGCAGTTAAGCAACTTGTGCACCAGAGTTTCACTTTACCCTTCCAGAAAAGTGGCTTCACGAGGATTTTATGTAGTGGCTTACTCGTTGGAAAACCGATGGGGGTGGGCATTTTCTTTCGAGTTATCAGTAAGAGTAAAGTTGAGCTGAGAGCTTCGGACGGCTTCCAGCACTACAGCTGCGACCTTTGTTTCAGAAGAATCACATCTCTGATCGCAACTGATTCTACTCGGTTTTTGTTCGCTTTGTGCCTTTCATAATTCCATCAATTAAGTAGTTGATTAGCCTGTGCATTGCTGAGTAGCATGAGCCGGTCTGCAGTAACCATTTAGTTAGTATGTGCTCTCAACTCTCCCCGATCTCTTTCTTTGTGTGCAAAATCTTACTGTTTTCGAATGTTTTGTTCGTCTTATAAAGGCCTTAAAGTGTTCCTATGAATTGTGTCTGATTTGATGCTCACAATTTACACATGAAGATGAAGCGTTTTCTTTAAGGGTTTGAATTTGGAATTTGGTGTTCTTTTTCAGTTAAGACGGATCTGCACACGTGGTCCCGCTTCGCAATTCCTTCATTAACTGGCCACCAAATCTGTTCACGTGTGAACTTCGTGAAGAACTTGTCAAAGCTGGCCGATTCAGAGCGGATACTTTGGTCCAAAGAGAGCAGTTATACCGAAGAACTCACCTAGACTATGAGCTTCGGTCAGTAATTTTCAGTGTTTCCGTTTTTTTCTCTCTTTTCTTCTTCTGTTACTTGGCTTTGTCCGTAATAGAAATATATTTGAAATACATTGAACTTTGTTTCCAAGGTCTTATCTGCTTGTTTTCTATGTTTCATTTGTTTGTTTGATCTCGTACTTTGGACTTGTTTTATTTTATTGTTTTGTTTTACTTTCTGTTTTGTATGCTTTGCTGTGTTCCATGTGCAACAAATGCCACTGTAAGTGCCATAACGATTTAAATAGTCGCAGTTCATGTTTCGACCAGACTACATCGACCTTCCCCTATTCGATGCTTTTGTTCTTGTAAAAGTAGCTTCATTACCAACTGCCTTTCATGTCTAATGAATTGAATTCCCATGTTCCTAATAGCAGTTTTACCGCTGTAGGCAGTACAGAACAATAGGAGGGCCCATGGAAATCTTCTGGAGTGCTAACTAGTATTTTTTGATAAGCGTTATTCGCATTGTCGTCATAATTTACTAAGTATCCTCCCAGCGGTTTACCGCCTCATTGTGGCAGAGGCTGTTGTTCTTGGGTGTCGGGCTGCGATGCACGGCAGGGGGATTCATCCTCCGGCAGGGTCTCCCAAGCCGAGAAAGAGCCTGTCGTTTTCATCAGGAAGCCCAGCTAGGAGTAAAACCAATACCATGTTACGTGACCATCCTCGTACCAAACTAGTCGCATGGTGGCTAATCTCCCTCTGGTCCACAAGAGCGGCGATTATCTGTGGTGGTGACGACCTAGGGCAGACTTAGGTCTAGCTGACTTTGGAACTACAGGGAACCACAATGGTTAAACCAGCAAAACTCCGAAAAAGTGGAGATTATGCTGGGGTAGCACAATCAGTGAAGACGGGCCATCCAAGTTTCCAAGTATTTCGTAGGTATGTGTTTATCGCCTAATTATTGTGACATATTTAGGAATCTCTGAAGGGGTACGGTGTTTGAATGGGAGCAATATTAATCCACATTCACCACCTCAAGGCGAGCTTGGCCTCTCACCACTGGGGCGGTCCGCGTCGCCAGGTCAGTTGCTTCTATACATAGATACTTGATGTGTATCTTGTGCTGTTGTTTCTTTAGTTGACAAGTGCTGTGACACTCTGAGCAAGTTTCTCAGAGTTTAATACATTTCTCCACTAACGAAGTTTTTATCAATTTTAACATTAGCTATTATTGATGGCAGAATAGTTAGAGAGTGCATTAAGGTGGTGAACTCGTATTCGCTAATTAAATTCTGTCGGAGTCCAAGTTTTTTTTTAAAGCTTTTCTTTTATCTCACCTAGGAAACCACTGTCAAAATTGCACGTGAAATTCGTTTTCTGAAAAGGTTTAATAGTTTCATACGGTTTTGACGCCGTATTTATACAAAACCGATCAACGTTGAGTTCAGATAACACTCACTGGGCCGGAACTACCAATAGAGAAACGACTTTTTGAAGCACTTAACAACCTAGAAGCCAAAGATGAGCGTTGGTACTTTACTGTCCTAGTGCTTTGCTTCTGTTTTGAGAAGAGAAAATACTACACTGTATATCAGCAGAGAATGGAAGACCAATCCATCATTTACTGCGTTCAAATTCCTGCGGAGCGAACAAGATAGACTGGTCTGACGTCTGATCAGTTTTTCTTTAGGGATTAGCTTTGGTTTCCGCTCATGTTGTCTGTTATTGTTAAGTGATAGCAACAGGAAATTATTGGTGCTTTCAGTAATTTTTTCGACAAACTTTTATCAAGTTGGGAAGGGTTCTTCAGGTTTATTGATGGGAGTGCTAGTCGAAGGTTACCGTTAACTTGAGATTATTTTTCTCATCCATTTAGGCGTTTGGCCTTGAAGGAATCCTTTGATGTGTTAAGCAAATGTGACAACGTATTTGTTCTCGATACAAAAGAAGGTTGGAAGTGAGGAGGTTCGTATTATTTTCAGGTCTCGATTCTAGCGCTGAGAAGTCCTTAAGTCGTAAGCGAACGAACACAACTTCTAGCGGTGGTGGTGAAAAGAGGACAGCAAACAAGGTGAAATTATTCCCATATTTGAATTGCTCTTGTTGTCAGTTGTTCAGTTTTATTGCAGGAATCTGAAGATAGTTAAATGCATAGTACGTTGTTCCGTTAGTAAATTAAAATCTTCAAGCATAGTGTTTGTTGTTGACGCATTAATCATTTCATGTTTTTTTTTACCTTGCTTAGATGACCTCGGATTTTATTTACTTTAGATTATTTTTAGATTATTAGAATTTTTATCTTAGATTTAGATGGCCTTGGATAACATTAGAGGTTTTTTGTGATGCACGACCTCAACGAACATCTATCAAGTGCTCCATAGTCAGTAGTTCTTTAGATCTGTCGTGTATGTGGCGACAAAGCGTTCAGCTACAATTTTAATGTAATCACCTGCGAATCGTGTAAAGCTTTTTTCCGTCGGAATGCTAACAAGGTACTCATTCTTTTGAACGAGGTTTGGGATATTCCACGGAACAATAATATTTCAGGAGAGGGAAATTCGATGTCCCTTCAATGAACAATGCGAAATCAACGTTGTCTCGCGGCGATTTTGTCAAAGATGTCGTTTAGCGAAGTGCTTTGGTGTAAGTTCAGTTTTATATTGTCTTAGCTCATTTTTGCGCTGAAAATCTTGGATAGTGCCAATTACGCTGTTTTTTGAAAATGTTTTTGCCTTTGCATTTATAAAAACTGCCGAAATTTTTTGAATAACTTGGCCGCTTAATTAGTTTTTGTGTACTTGATACACATGCCGAAGAGGGTTTTCGTTTTGCGTAAAGCGTACGTGTCATTTTTTTTTCTGGAATGTTCTAGTTGTGATTTTGTCAGTCTCATGCTTATAAGAAACGTGAAGAAAAACCGGGAGTTGTATGTTGTCAAACACAGATGCGAAAGCGCTATACGTCATTGGTGGATTCACAGATATCTTTATATAATTCTCTGTAACATTCTGGAGGAAATTCCTCCTGTTCAGTCGATTCTCCTCTTCAACCCCGAATCTTTTTGAAGAAGTCATGCAAAAATAAATGTGTGTTTTGGTAAATCGATGTGTAATCATGGTAAGATATGAGAACTAGTAATATTTTGAAAGGTCATTGCATTCTAATGGTTTTATATCAACTAATGGAGTTGACTGTAAGCTCGATAAGCTTCGGAGTCGGTCTGAAAACAGACTATCTTAGCCATTTAAGGTTTCAGATCAGTGAACGTTGTCACGAATTTTCCACTAACTACTCTACACATTGAGCTGTTTCCTTCAGGTAGGAATGAAGAAGGAATGGATAATGTCCGATGAGGCTCGACTCGAGAAAAAACAGCGTGTTGAAGAGAATCGGGAGCGTCGAATGGCTGATGCCATTGCGCGAGCCGAAGCTGCTGAAGATGATGACGTACAGAACGACATAGATGTTCAAGAAAGGGTTCATCAACATGCTCTTCTAAATCCAGAATCATATCCTGATCAGGTGAAAACTGACATGAGACCTGAAGAAACTCCCTCGAACATCAAACCTCCCGATGAGCTCAGTTCGAATGTGTGGGTTCCACACGACATTTGTCTTATTTTATTTCAATAGTTTAAGATAAGTTGAGAACTCTTTTAGTACCCAAGAGCACAGTTCTGTTCCGATTGTGGTGTCACCTTTGCTAGAGGCAGGTTCAACGGCAGGTCTGTTTGACTGCTATTTCTTCCTTTACATTTCTGGAAAGTTAACATTTCATTCGAATACGTAGCCTTGAACAACTGTACTATTTTAAATGAAACTGAATTTCTTACCTATATAGGCTACCGGTCAAAGCTCTTGATGCATTTTCTATTTAGCAACTTTTTAACATCAGGAATGATGTCTGGTTTACCTTGTTTTTTTTCAATACTGATTAAATGGTTTATTAGTTTTCTCATTTTTTAAAATCTGTCTTGGTTTTCGATGTGGGTTCAAGAAAACTCACGTTTAGTAGCTCAGTCTTTGGCTGACGTGAGTGCTACAACAACTGCCGCGCCCACGATGGACGTAGACCCTGCGACTACAATGAGCAGCAGTGGCTTCATTCCACCTGCAATGGAGTCAGGCACGTTTTTATTTTCTAAATTCTCCTTGGTGTTGTTGTTTGTGGGTATTCACTTTGTTGCTGCTACTTTTTTTTGACAAAAAATTGCTTCTGCTGTTGTTGCTATTTCAAAGCATTTCTGTAGGTTTACTTGTAATGCCTTCAAATAATCCTGTTGATCCATCATTCATGGCCCAAGCCCAACTTGCCGCGGCTGCTGCTGCTCAAGTTCAGGTACAGGCAGCGATCAAGCAACATCAGGTAGGTTGGAAGCTTTTTTTTTTGAAACGGTTAACGTGAAATAAACGGTGGTGTATAAATTGAGTTACAAATGGATGAACATTCTTCGTTTTCATACACGTCTGTAGATCCCCACGACCGACTTTCTATTAACCTCGGCATTGATCAAGTAATTCTTCGTATTTTTGTTGAGCAAACGCGAGGTGTTAT